AGCGCTCGTAATTTACTTTCTATACTATCATAAAGTACTCCTAAGTCCGACGCCGTTCTGCCTGTTGTAGCATTCTTTGTAACAAGCCCAAGCAAATCTCTTACATAGATCTGCACCAGAAGGTCTTCTCTACCAAATCTTTCTTTCAGCTGCTCGATAGCTTTAGGATAATTCGCGGCGGCGGTAACAGGAAAACTGTTCAAAAGTTGAGCTGCCTTTGAGCCAGGTACTGCACTTTGCACTAAGTACAAAAATTTATCTTCCGGCACAATATCCGCATCTTCATGAATTTTGGAGAATTGGCTCCAAAAGCCTAAAAATTCTCTTGCATCTCCAGAAAATTTTTTCAGTTCAAGTTTAGGAAGTTTGAACTTCCTGTTTTTATTTTCTTTAGGATCCGAAATCGAAACTGAAGCAATATCTGTAGTAACATTCATCGAATTCAATTGTCCAATTTTATTCTGAAGTTTCACCTTTAAAGCTATAAAGGAATCTCTGTATCCTTCAGCCGTATTAAATTCATTCTCGAAATCCGCTTCCTTGGTTTGTTCTAAAACACTGCTTTGAGTACTGTCCAAGCGTTCAAATTTGTCAATTAGTTGCCCCAACAACACTTGCAATCTCTCAGGATCCGTACAAGTAGGCAATTCTTCTTCCACAATCTTCGTAGTTAACGTAAACGAAGTACGTTCACTTTTACGTTTTGCCTTTAACAACTCCATTTTAACAAAACGCCTAAATCAAAACTACTCGAAATCACACAAACGTCCTGTCAAACGGACGCCAAACTTTTATGTTGAAACTAAATAACGTTTGCATAATCCGAGTTCAGAAAACAAAACATTTATTTTACATATTTTAAAGAAATAACGTTCTGAAACAACATGTTTCATCTACACAATCAATCGACGCTCTCACCAGAGCATTACGCCATCAAACTTGGCACACATCCAAAAGTTCAAATTGAAGAATTACAGAAGCGTTGTTGCCACACAAGAAAAGACATATAGTTACAACTTCACACAAAATAATCAAAAATCCATCTTTTAATTTTGACAATTCTTAAAAACGGCCACACAATTTAATCCAAGTCAAAGATTAGATCATATTACAGGAAAAAGTGTCACTTTAATTCATTTTTTTTAAATTCTCAAGTCAAAAACAAACAATAATAAACAATTAACAAATTATCAAATTTCATTATTCATAGTTAATACGAAAAACAGAAAAGTAAAATTTAATTCAAAGAACATTATCTGTTTATAATGTATTTTATCTATCTAAATCAATTCTTATCTAGGCAATAATTTATCTTAATTATAAAATGCCCTCCTAATTAATTAACATATTCTGGTTTAAAATACAATTAATCTCAAAAACTAAGAAAATAAAAACAAACAAATAATATAGCAATAACATTTAGCTTGCTATTTTAAGACATAGCCTTTAACTGAGAACGTAACTCTTTTTTAAAAACATAGCAAGCATAAGAATTAGAAATGTGGCAAATTTTGTACTGTGTGTGCGTTTCTAAATTTGATCTTAAACAGTTAATACAAGATGGACCCTCTTTACTGTTTGGGACTAAATTATCATGTGTATGAGTGCAGTGAAAGCAAAATAAAGAATTTGTACAATTTTGAATATGGTGATCAAAAGCCTGGCAACCATAACATCTTAAAATTTGAATATATTTACGAAAACTACAAGAATGGAATCCAACATAAACGCGACCCTTATGACCCAGTAATGTGATTCATTCTACAAATAGACCCCAGCTTGTCTATTTGTAGAATGAAATTCTTACTATTGTCTGTGCATTTAAAGCTTGTGACAAAATTTAAATTTAAGTTAGTATCTCTTGGCAAGAGTGCCTTAAAAGCATCTTCGATAGCAGCCTCATTTACATTAATAGGAACTCCAAATAAAATAATTCTATCCATATGCGATCTGGGTACGCGTGCCGAAATATTGGCATCTGGAGAAGATAATATCAAATCTTTAAGCAGTTCTTACAACATATCAGTTGTATTACAACCTATCAGAAGATCCTTTGAACAAGTTAAACGCATATTTGTAATGTGGATTCCTGTATTTGATACATCCATTTTAACTTAGATTGAAATTCAGCCAAAATATTGACTGGTTACGACGAGGAGACAATGATAACATTATCTAAATGACGTTTAGAAGAATTAGCAATCATAGAAAAATTATTCTTAAATGCAACTATATATATATAGTGCTTTGTATTTTTTTTTTTTTTTTTTTTTTTTGTGTCTGTGTGTGTGTGTAATATTACCATCCAATGGAATTATTTTTTGACAGCTATCATCAATCCAAATGCTGAGTGCCTCTTCCATCTTATCAATTATTGGCACCTGGGGGCAAGCTGCACATTTTGCAAATTTCAAAGATCTTGCAGCAACTGCATTTCTTATTTCCTTTTTATTTTGCTTAATAGTCCAGACTGTTGCTTTATACAAATTAATACTTTTTCCAATGTAAGATGCTTTTTCTCCTTTTAAAAGACGATCCAAGATCTGTATCCTTACTTCTAAAGAACTAAATATCCTCTTAATTTGTTTTTTTATCTTTATCAGACATGACGTTTGACTGAAACTTAATGTCTTAAAGATGAAAAAGTTATTCTTTAACACACCATGGCTGAACACAGGCTGTTGACCAGCAGCATGAGACACTTATGTTAAATTTGAATTTTGGACGCTGAACATGTGGGTTGTGCATTTTGGGGCCTCTTATTGTGACCTCATCTTGTTCACCTTCTGCAATAGTGGGATTTCTTCATTATTGCCTGGTGATTGTGCACTCTTGAGACTGTGTATTGTTTCTGTTGTGTTATACTTTGAAGGTTATTCAGCTAAATGATTTTTCCTCTGTTACCGGTTGCAAATTCAACAGTTGCTCTCCACTATATGGCTCATCTCTCTGAGAACAGTTGTTCTTACAGGAACCGGATCTTGGAAGACAGCTGGCAGGTCTTACTAAACAAACTAAACAACTACTAAACTTACTAAAACAAACAAGGGTTCTTATATGTTAAATGACTATGTGGATGCTTTGCTCAACATGGAAGAACTTTATGCAGATTTCATTAAATTTCTTGGGCAATTTTCTAATCATGTTAGAGTGAAACCGTGCTATAGGATGAGGGTTCGCACAATTTAGGAATCATGTTATAGCAAAACTGTATCTCAGGATGATATGTTGAAGGAGTTAGAAAACAATTGCTACTTTGAGGTTTAATATCTTTAAAATACACTCATTGCAAAATTTACGCATTAGTCAGTTTTCTGAAAGCTAATAAACAGATTTTAATTAAATGTGGTATGAACATACATTTGTAACAGAGAAAGAGATGTAACATTCAAAAATCATTTTCTATATGCATGATTATCAGTAAAGCTCATAGTGCAAGGATGTCCAAAATCTATGCTGCAATATCAAACTGAAAATGAGTGTGATATGCATATGTTTTCTTCTCACAGCCAAACAGTTCATGCAGCATGATAAGCATACTAGATAGGAGGTAGTTGAGTTCCTGTGGCAGTTGATCCTACTCCTGCAGCAAAGCAGTTTTCATCTTCTGGATGGTTCTTGGAAGGGGATAGCAAGATGAAATTGCCCTCCCAATAGCATGCCAGACATGCAGTATAGGTTTAAGGTCTGGAGACCTGTCATGCAGTGAATATCCTCAGTTTGCAGGTAATCTTCGAGTAGCTGAGCCCTATGTGGACAAACGTGATGTTCCGTTATCAGGAACCCAGGACAAACTAAACACCTGAGAAGTTGAACATAGGGCTCTAAGATCTTCTCTCTATACCTCATAGCAATCAGGGAGCCTTTATCAAACACATGCAGGGATGTGTAGCCATACAATATAATGCCTGCAAAAACAATCTTCCCTCCACCACCTAATGACCCTTTCCCTGATGAGGAAAGGATGGTATCATGTTCCACTGAAATCTGGTCCAAGGTGCATTTCATCTGCACCATGCTGATTGTGCTCTCTTGTGTGCTGCTATGAGCGGGACATTAACAACAGGTTTTTGGAATACAGCCCCAACTCATGAAGCCTAAAGCAGCTGTAGATCGTGAAACAGGGGTTTCAATGGCAGCGTAGAGCTCTTGTGATAGCTGTGAAGCTGTAGCAGCTGTCACCACATTTAAGGTGCTAAATAACAGTCTTCATTCATCACTATGAATCTAGGTCAACCTTGTCCAGGTCTTCTCCATACGGATCTAATGTCCTGAAACTGTTCCCACAAATTGCAGACAGTACTGGGCATGCTGAACTTTGTAGCCTCCTCTGCTTAAGACTGATGTGCCTTCAATCTACTGACAGTTCTCCATCTCTTTCCATCATCCATATATTCATGGCTACTCATTTTACCTGATATCTTATAATACTTACCTAACTCTTGCAAGAAACATAGTAAATGTTGTGAAGGAGTGTGAACTCACAAATTACCAGAAAACCTCTCCTGCATTTATATCCTCTGCATGATCAAAGCTCTTTTGGCATGCATGTGTATGTTATATATTCAACTCTGAATATTTGCATAATTCTTCAATGGCATAAGTAGTATCTTTGGTTCAATACTTTTGTAAAAATAGGTATAATTTGCACATTTTCTTAATTTCACACATGAGCATTAATTCATATATAGTGCTGTTAATGGAAATTTAAGTCTAAGAAGGACAATTTGGACAATTTTCTAAAGATTCTAATTCTGTATAAATGATGAAGACATTGGGAGGTGATAAAATCTCTCATCTCTTCTACAAAAGTGCTGTCTCAAGTACCCTAAATCTTTGTAAAAATAACGCCATAATTTTTTTCCCCTGCTCTTTTAGTCCTGGTAAATGTATTTCAGTGCGAAAAGTTAAAATATTATGCTGTAGGATTTTTATCTTATGTGTTCTTATTCCTATAACCAAGAGGCTAATCGAGCTTCTGATTGAATGTTTTGTTATAGTGTGCTTTCCTCACCTCATTCTTCAAGTGGTTTTCCTTGCAAACGACTGAATTCACGTCCCCATTCTATGTATGAATGGCCTTCTTTTAATTCCCCTTCTACAAGAAGTTCTAGGTATTTTATATACTTAAATCTTTATAATTGTGTCTGTTAATGTATAAGTTACCTGTGTTCACCTCTTTGTACTACTTATATTTCTAGAAATTATAAATACCTTTGACAGATACCAATAATAGTTTTATATATTGTATTTATATATATAGTATAAAATTATTAGTGTTCAGAGTTTAGATATCGAGTGTATTTTTGTGTAATTTAGAAGACAAGGGGAGTAATTAAAGCGATACAGGAATTAAAAGAAAAAAATTAACTTTCTATACATATTTGTTAAATTGAAGGAAAATGTAATAAAAATGTTCATTTGTGACTGTAAATATTGAAATGAAAACTATTTTTATTTTGCCCTTAATCCGATTTGGAGAAGTTTCTTCTGTTGCAGTAGTGTTCCTGTAATTTTTTGCAAAACAATTTGTAGATTTATTAAGTCATTAGTAAAACTTATTTCCATTATGAACATATGTAAAAGAAAATAATAATAATAAAGACTAATTTGTAAGGCTGTGCAAAACTGTAAATTGCAGCAAAGATAACAACACTTCCTTACATCCATTTTAGTTTTTCTTCTTTTTTCTTTTCTTTTTTCATATTTTGAATATTAATACTCATATGCAATGAAAAATGCCCACATTTGCCCCCTTGTCTACAGCACAACAGTAGTTGTGAGACTATTCCGTGACCTCTGTTAAACCCTATTTCTAAATTCCTTCCACATACCTGCATCATTTAATAAATAGTGTGTTAGGACTGATATTTATGTAGCTAAAACTGATGTCTGTATATTTGTTACAAAAATAAGATTTTGTCATTTACTTAATTTCCTTTGTCAGTTTTAGCCCATGTTCTGGATCCAGTACGACTGCAAATACTAGCAGCAATGAAGATGTGGATAATACTAGGCAACCCTCTCTAAGGTACTTATTAATAGCTGTGTTGTTGTTACTTGCTTATTTTTGCATATCTCTTCATACTCTACACACTTCTTGTACAGTCCTCATATTTAAAAAAATATATGTTTCAAAGAATACTTTTGTCCTCTCCCAGTTTTTCACACTCAGTCTCAAATGATGGATCTTCATTAACAGATCGCGTGGTTACTGCAGTACCTGATGGATATCTTATGATGTCACACACCAAAGGTATTGTGCTTTTTCTCTTATTTTTTTATTTCCACATGCCTTCTTTGTACTAATACATATGCATTTTTCATATTCTAAATTTCACACATAAATGTACTTAAATAACTTATGTGTATAAACTGCAATATGTATGTATAGTATGATCCCATGCTTAAATATAGTATGATCCGATGTTTTGCAGCTAGGTCCCTTTCTGTGTACAGTCAAATAACGAAAATCCACCGACCTGAAATCTGTCAACTCCTGAAATCCACGTTGCCTCTCAAAATATAAACATTCAGTTTATAGGTTCCGGAAACTACAACATTGAGTATGAAATATCGAAAAAAAAAAATACTTAACCGAATAATGACATCATAATTACCAAATAATAATGAGCCATAACAGAAATACCAAATTATTGACATCGTGATAAAAGTTTTCCCCCCTCTAATCTGCATCGAAATAAGAAAGCAGACGATTCACTCAACTCTTCTGTCAAGTTCACGATTCACGTTGTTGTATTTTCTTAGCTTTGTTATTTCACAAGATTATTTAGTGCTGCCTTTTTTTTATCCGGATATTTTGTGAATAAATTAAGAATATTTTAAATTTCAGCCCTTTTTAATACAATTACAGATTAGAAACACATTCATGATTTTACTGCTTGGAACGTTGAAAAACGTAAACACGTTGCATTGACGATAATGCAAAAAGTGCAAATTTTGCAAAAGATGGAGGCAGTAGCTACTCCTCGGTTTATAGCATAATCGTATGGAATTGCAATATGATTGTGTATAATATATGGAAAAATAAAGAAAAGCTGTTGAAATTTTGCAGCAACAGTGATTCTAACACCGGAATCCGAAACCAGAAATCTTTGCATGAGGCGAAATCAGCAAACCTCGATGCTGTGTTTATAATAAAATGAATAATATAATCAATTTATATATGTAATAATAATTTAATGCATATAATAAGTTATTGCAATAATGAATATAATAATTTAATTAAATGTATCTAATACGCCTTATTTATTTTGCACTTTTAGTCTGAATATTATGATTTATCTTTTCTGTCCTGAAATCCGCAAAATCTTAAAATCCGCACAACCTCTGGTCCCAAGCTTTGCAGATTTCTGGAATTCTACTGTATTTTGTACTATTGATTCTAAAACACTTTTCCCTCCCCTTTTATGTTAATTTGATTATGTTTTCCAGAATTAAACAAATTACTAATTTATATTATGATCCTATTTCTTCTTAATTACATGAGACACAATTCAATCAATACGTATAAGGAAGTTATGTTCATAATTTTTTGCTTTATCATTTATATAAATTTAATAGATGCTATGTCTTTCACCATAAAATACATAATAATAAGTAATATTCAACATTTTTATATTTATGGCATATTAAAAATGCAAATTTATAGGTAAATATTTTCTGAAATATTTAGAAAAAGAATTGCCTCAACTCTAAATATAATTTATCACGTATTTGATTTAAATGCATAAAACATGGAAGTATTAAAATTATAAAGTTTCAGAAACTGCTGGTTTAGATTGAAATCTTAATTAAAATTTTTCTTCTATAAAAAGAGATCCAATAATCCAACGATTGGTATAAAGTTCCAATAATTTATGAGAATTAAATATGTAATTTATTTCAGACATATCATTTATAGAAATAGAAAGACTGTTGAATTAACTACAAAATGAGACGGCTAAAAATTTAAATTTATGCAAACTTCAAAAAGCATAATTTAAGGAAGAAAACTTCTTAGCATTTGAAAATTATAATTTTATGTTAAAAAATTAATTAAAGTTTATAATTGCAAAAATTTTCTATTATAAAACTATAACAAAAAAATTTTCCAATCAGGATAGGATAGGAAAAGATTTTTTTTTAATTATAATTTTTTGGAGAGAGGCTATTTTAGTGAAGGAATATTTATCTAATTAAGCTTTAAAATACCTTGGTATTTAAGTTAGGATCATTTCTTACATGAGGATGAGCTTATTATTATTATTATTATTATTATTATTATTATTATTATTTACCTTTTTAGAGAACAAGCAGTTGATTTCTAATTGTATGAGTATGAATAAATCAGATGGTAGTGTATCAACTTCACCATACATAGACATGAGATCACTGTCATCAGCAAAATCAGGTAAGGATTGCTTGTAATTGTTGTTTGTTTTATATGTAATGCAAGCATGAAGTAGTGTCTCTGTGTTCACTTTCTGACAATTGCTTATCTTTCTGTGATACTTCTGTGAAAAGGTAGCATATTTCTTAAGACAATAATGAAGGAATTGCGGCATAGCCTTTGTTCATTTGAAAACTCACAAATCTAAAAATAACATTGGTATTGTGAATACACATGCATATTTGCTCAGTTTTACCACAATATGTGTATTTTCTCACCTTGTGATTCTGCAATAAGCCATCTTTATAAAATTTTACAAATTGGCAAAATGTTGCTGAGGTTCTGGAGTTTAATGAATTTTACCTTGTACTTTTTTAAGTATTTTTCTGCTAAATTATTTTTAACATAAAAAATCAGAAAGAGCTTAGAATTCTCCTGCTGAATTGTTTGCCAAAATTGCAGCAGTTAAATTTTTAAATTACTATAGATTTCTCTTCTCATGTAACATATAAAGTGTTTATTTACTAATATTGCTCTAAAAATTTCTAGAACTTATTTGCTTAAACTGGAAAAATTTAACACAGTAATTCCTGTTTATCATATTTTTTGTTAATCGAATTCAGTATGTAATGACTGTAAATATGTTTGGGAATGTAAGATTTACTAAATTCGTATTAATTCAGACTATAAAAGAAAAACATACATGTATATGAAATGGTGATAATTTTCTGATATTTATGTGAAGTCATATGACACATTTTTGGCATTATGTTGCTCCATTTTGACTTATTTCTTGCTTCACACCTTTAACTTGGTCCTGAAGATCCCTCCCCCCCCCAAAAAAAAACTTTTACTAAGGTTTTTCTCCCTCTTTTATTAAATTCTATGTCATTATTATTATTATTATTTCCATCTGTTTCATTCCTGAAAAGAGATATTTTTATTTATTGCTTCAAAATGCTAAAGAAAATATGCAAAATTTAAAAGAAATATAATTAATGAACCATTATTACAGATAAAACCATTATCATATAAAGCTAAGCAGTAGGCATAAAATTATGGCTTTAGCAGAAACATTTCTTCTTTGGAATGTATGCAATGCTATTTGAACCAATTAAAAAAGAGTCTAAATTAAATTAAATAAAAGCAGTGTCTCTTTAGCATTTGTTTTGCCACATTACTCTATTTTGTAAGCACTCAACAGATTCCATGTAATATTTATCTGGATCAACAAAAGGATAAGAATGATTTACTGTGAAATATTCCAAATTTCAAACAGTAAAATATAGCTTCCCAAGTGATTGGTAAAGGTAGTTATTACTAAGAAAGAAGACAAACCAAATAAGTGACACTTGGTGCCAGGTAAATGCATCCCCTCCCTCCCCCTCAAAAAACGGAGTGATAATGGCTTTAAATTGAACACTGAGCAATGGCTTTGATGGAAGAGAAACAGTTTTCCCTAGTTGTTAATACTATTTTTTTTTTTTTTTTTTTTGATTTAGTGTTTTAATTGCATTACAGCAGCTGTAGTAAAGAAACTTGGAGCTTCTTCAAACTCTGATGAAACTTCTCGAACTGAAGGAAGTTACTTGGAAATGTCTTCATCATGTTCTACAGATTCTGCATGTGGTATTGTCATTATTATCATTACATTTTGTACAATTTTAAATAAAGACTAAAATAACTCAATATACAAATTTAGGAAATGAATTCTGTTTAAATACAGCTATTACCAAGTGCATCCCAAATGCCATGCTTTTGAGAGGTTAAGAGAGAACTATTTTTCCTTTATTATTTTTTTCTCCCACCAACCTCCCAAAAATTCATTAAGTTTTCAGGGAATTAGCATGATTTAGGGGCCTCACAACAGTATTTTAATACACTACTCGACATTGAAAATGCAACACCAAGAATGTGTGGCCCGAAAATTATGCAAATTTTAAAGTAGATGAACATCACCGAGTTTTGTGAATAATGTAAAACGCAATGAAAGGCACCAGCAGAATGTTCAGTTTCAGAAAATGCAACACCAACAACAACTAAAAATTATGCAAATTTCACGGTAGATGCACATCACCGAATTTTGCAAATGATGTGAAATGTGCAGCTGTCTAGCACAGTAAAGAAAATATAATGGAAAGAACCTGCAGAATGTTCGATTTTCATATTGTAATTTCTGCTAGGGAAATCATCGCAGAAAATTTGTTCTTGTCTCTGAGGGCGTGTGTGATAGCAGAGAATCATACACGCTGTCATCAGCGGAGGCAGTTCCCGTAAATAGACTATTAAATGAGGGGACTGAGAAGGGCAGGCACTGTCCACAGTGTACCAGCTGTGGCGATGATGGTTGGAACAAGGAAATGTTGCAAGTTCAAGGGATGCCAGTGCAGTCAGACTGAATGTCAGCACGCATGGATCGATGCATCCGCTGACAAGCAGTGGCTCACCCGCAAGACATTTCTACCTCCATTCTGCAGCATGTTCAAGTTACCCTGGATGTTCCCATATTGACCAGAACCATTTGTCATCAATTGGTTGCTAGTGGCCTGCCCTTGTGGCAGCCATTAAAAAGACTGCCATTGAAGCCACAGTATAGGCGCTAACATCTGCAATGGTGCAGGGTTCAAGGGATGTGGATGATGGAATGCCACAGATGCATGTTCTTAGATGAATCACACTTCTATTCTCCAATAACTACCATGTATGAGTGTAGTATCGATGTGGAGACAGGTCCAGTCTGGCAGCAACTGCAGAATACCCCACTGTGTGACAATGCGGCATCATGGTTTGGGAAGCTTTTGCATACAATTCCAGGTCACTTCTAGTTCGTATTCAGGGCACTATGATGGCCCAATGATAAATAGATGTTGTGCTGCAGCCAGTGACACTGCCCTGTCTTCAAGGAGTTCCAGTGCCCTCCACATGCGCAACCACAGGTTGCTCTTATCAGCCAATGTGCTGTGCTGGGTGTACAGATGCTTCTCTGTCCATGATTCTCTCCTGATCTCTCATCAGTTGAATACATTTGGAATGCGATTGGATGCCATTTGCAAAAACCCTGGCATTGCCACTTTCAGAAGACGAACTGTAGCAAATGGTTGACAGGGGATAGAGAGCCATTCGTCAGGACACCATCCATAGTCTCATTGGCTCTGTATCTAGATGTGTTGCTTTGTGTATTGCTGTACAGTGTAGTCCTACAACCTATTGAGCCAATGCGGTTCTTACTGTGTATTATGCACATCATTTAGAAATAAAGATCACTTATTGTCCGTTGCTGTCCATCTCTGTTTGCTAATCTTCATCACTTTCTGGGCATTTTCAGTGCTGGGTAGTGTATTTTTAAGTTGATGTTTGTGTGTGTGTGATAATTTTTTCATCCATGATAACTCTTATATCAAATTTTCAAAGATATCCATTTTCCATATTTCATCTTTCTATGTTCATATTAAGAGTTTATTAGATTTTTGGTAAAACTAGACAGTCGGAAGTGGTACCTTTTTTGAAGCCCATAAGTTTTTAATGGACAACCGGAAGTGGTGCTGGACAGCTTCCAGCAATCAACTAAACATGTTGTTGCAGTTGGACGAGCATTGTTTACTGATACCTAAATATCATGAGGATATACATTCAGATACAAATGAATTTAGCTTTATTGATGCTATAGAAATAACATAAATTAAATGATGGTATTCATTTGAAATTATTTGTTTTAAATATATCATAAACAGCTAGTTTTCTTGAAAACATATTTAAATTATACATTAGTCAACTATACAATAAAATACAATTTTAATAAATAAAATAAAGAGGCAAACATTTGATTATGATGGTATAAATTTATAAAAACTATTTTTTACCCATGACCAATCGTATTTAATAAAAATAATCCAAAATTTTGCATTTCAAACCTTTCTATTGATTGAAACAGCAAATAAAATAAATTTTGGTAACAAATGATCAACTGGGAAGTGATACTTTACTTAAAGCTGGCTGCTATTTAAAACAGAATTGGAAGGAGATTATGTGCTAGCCACACAATTTTTTTAATGTTAATGCAATGTAATTGTTTTGCACCTGGTTAATAATTTTAAGGTGAAAATTTATGTGAAATGTTTATGTAAAATTCACATTTTATCACCCATTCAAAATTTGTTTTTAGAGATTTAAAGGAGAAAAGTATTGAGAAGCATTGTTGCTTTATTCATCATGCATTTATACACTGATTTTAAATCTTCTGTGATCAAGTAAATGTTGATACGAATTCTGAAGTTTTAAATAATCTTTTAAATCAAATGCCCCCAGTTTTTGAAATGCATTGATTTGTTTATATAACTAGCATTGTTACTATCTTTGGCAAACATTATTGTCTCTTCATAAAAAGCTTTGAAGTACAGAATAATCAAATTGATCTTACTCATGTTTTAATTTATTTAGCATTACAGCTAAATTATAGCATCTTAGTGAAATGCATCCTCCTTTCCCAAGTGATTTTCTTAAATCTTAATATAAATTAAATATTTCCAAACAAAAATGCAAATTTTTTACTGGAGATGTTTAATGTACACTGTGAAAAAAATATAGGACAGTTCTATATCTCCCATTCTACTGAGCCGATTGACGAAATTCAAATTGCGTTTTTCATGTCTCAAAAGCACGACTTGGGATATATATTAGATTTATATATAAGATTGATCTAATGTAGATATTTTGACACAAAATCGGACTTTTTTCTGAAATGACATGCCATGTTTTTTCCATATTTTGATTCTAGTACTCAAATTATGCCTAAATATAAAATTTTGTAAAATTTGGTGTGAAATTTAAGGAGAAATTAAAAAATTTACCTTGGTACATTTTTTTCAGTTTGTGCCAAGAATAATTCACTTGGAGAACTTCTTAATTTATAGCAATGTATTTCCTTTCCTTTTCAAAATTTCAAAAAAATTTCAAAAAATTTTTAAAAATCAAAATTTAAAAATAAATCATAAAAAATGTGCGAATTATATTTGGATTAAAACTAAATTTTGAATTCTGAAAGACAGAATCAAGTAAATTTAATAAAACAAAAAAAGAGATATTGGTAAATATATATCAAATTCAATTAACATTGAGGAGCTAACATTTTGAGAAGTAATTTTTTAAAAACTACTTAAGCAATGCTTGCAAAACTTGACAGTTTGGCATAATTTGAGACGTAGAATTAAAATATGGAAAAAAAACTGGCATCTCGTTTCAGAAAAAGTCTGATATTTGTGTCAAAAATACCCATGTTAGAATAATGCTATATATAAATTTACTACAACATATTCAAGTCGCGCTTAAGGCATGAAAAACACAAGTTGAATTTCGTCAATCGGCTCAATGAAACGAGAGCATAGAACTGCACCCCCCCCCTTTTTTTTTTTTTTTTTTTTCCCACATTGTACATGATATGCAAATATGTTTAATCTTAAGTTTAAAGTGAATTTAATGCTTATCATAATAATTACCGTATTTGACGGCATATAAGACGCACATTTTTTCCTAAATTTGGTCTAAAAAAAATTACCTGCGTCTTATACGTGAAGGACACAGGTTAACTTTCAATACTGAATGCTATTTTTAGCCTGGATAAAGTTCTAGACACACATAACTTTTTCTACATCTTCCATAATTATTTTGCGCATGCGTGACATATCTGCCGCCAAAAAGCACCAAAGTTCGAAGCTGATGTCGAAGTTCGAACAGGTTCGACAGTCACATTACGTCTATAGAGCCTTTCCTTCTTTACATAGACTTCCTTTGACTGAAGCTGACACACGTGTCGGTATCGGTGCTACTCTGTATAAACGTGTCGGTATCGGTGCTTAAAACTATTTGTTTAAAAAAAAATGCTCTGGAAAATATGACTACAGGAAATAAGAGATTAAGCTATACAATTCAGTATAAACTAGGAGTGTTAAACTATGCCAAAGTGCATGGAAACAGAGCAGAAGCAAGGCATTTGGGTCCACAACCTACCGAAAAAATTATACACACTTGGCGACTGCAGGAAGATGAAGTGAAGACTGCTAAAAAACAAAAAAACAAAACCTTGGATGCTCAGCTCCATCTTGGCCTGAACTTGAAAATGCTGTAAAAATGTGGGTGATAGATAAGAGGAAATCTGGGATAAGTGTTTCAACCAAAATGATAATCAATGAGGCCAAAGGATTTGCAGAAAAACATGGGAATCAGAACTTATCAGGGTCTGAGAGCTGGTGCTACAGGTTCATGAAAAGGCAAGGCTTATCAATGCACACAAAAACTATTGCACAGAAAATGCCAGCAGATTATGAAGAAAAAAGTACTAGCATTTCATAGGTTTGTCATAAATGCAGCACGCAAGAAAACTTCTTTTGAGCTCGGTCAAATAGGAAATATGGATGAAATTCCACTCACATTTGATGTACCATCCAACAAGACTGTGAGTATTAAAGGGTCCAAATCAATAACCATAAAAACCACAGGTCATGAAAAACCCAATATACGGTAGTTCTAACATGTTGTGCTGATGGCACAAAACTACCACCGTTTTTCCTATTCAAAAGAAAAACTTCCAACAGGTGTAATTGTTCATGTTCATCTAAAGCTGAAAGGCTGAATGGACGGAGCTGGAATGAAACTGTGGTTACAGAACGTATGGGCGAGGCGACCTGGAGGACTCTTAAGAAAACCCTCTTTTTCAGTTTTGGATCAGTTTAGCACCCATAGAACTGAAACCATAAAGAATAAAGCGAGAGAATTAAAAACCCAGATAGCTGTCATTCCTGGTGGACTGACTAGCCAATTGCAGCCTTTAGATGTATCGGTGAATGAAAGCCAAAAGGAAAAAAAAGTGCGAGAACAATGGAACAAGTGGATAGGAGAGCCACATCATGCCCTCATACCCTCAGGTAGAATGAAGCGGCCCTCTATTTCACAAGTATGGGATTGAGTAAAAAGGTCTTGGGAGGACGTAAAGGCTGAAGTAATTGTTAAGTCCTTTAAGAAGTGCGGAATCAGTAATGCTCTTGACGGAACAGAAGACGACCCATTATTCGAAGAAGGTGATACTCGTTTTGGATGATGATGATAGTGAAAAGGATTTTTATGGTTTTGAAAGTCTAATTTCATGATAGGCAACGTTTTCCTTGAATCTGTGTTTTTTGTTGTTTCTGCTTTATTTTGTATTATGTTTGATTGCTTGCCATTCATTCATATATTCATTATTGAAATTTACATATCATGTTCAAAATAGCTTGCCATTTGTTAATTTTCCTAAAAATATGTTTGGTAATTGCATTCAATGATTGTTTATTTGGCTTTTACGAAATGTGAGAACTGAAAGAAACCACATTTTAAGTTATTGTGGTACTACGTTCTCGCGCGGACTATTGAAATTTTTCCCTTGTGTTTGGCCTTCTAAATAAGGGTGCGTCTTATATGCCATCAAATATGGTAATTATAGCTATAAATACATAATTGTAGTATTTTTAATGAAATCACTTGTTTTAAATTTATAATCTTCGAGTAGCAGTTGATTAAGATAAAATAATACGCCAAACAAGTATTAATTTAGAAGTCAAACAACAAAAATCACTGTTATATTTGCAAATTTTCATAGGACTAATTTTGATGTTTTTACCAAATGGTTTTACCATGAACCCAATTTGCTACTTTTGCCCATTTGCTCTTTGGCAGCTGAAGATGATGATTTGGTAAAACCATCAAAACTAATCCTATGAAAATTTGCAAATATAACACTGATTTTGTTGTTTGACTTCTAAATTAATAGCAGTTCCATTCCAAATAACATTTCTGATACTTCCCAATTTTTATTGGGAAGATTTACTTTATTGTCCTTCATGTACTTGATACTTCCCCTTTCTCCTTTCCTTTCTGTTTTACAAATTCTGTCAATAAAGGTATTAGAACATTTTTTTCCTGCCTCTTTCCAGCTGCAAAATCTCCTGAGAACAGTTTTCTTCATGATTCAAAAGATGAAAGTGGTCATTTATTAGCATTAGAAAAGGTAAATCATTTTGGTATTTTACTTTGCTATTATAAAATGTATATGTTTATTAATTAATAATTTCATAACTGTTAATTAGAAAATGAGAAAATTGCTTTTGACTTATCGAGAAAATATAAACTGTATCAGATATTAAAATATGCAAGAAAAACACACCAGTTTTAATTTCAGAACTTTAAAAAATGCATACATACAATTGAAAATTTTTAGTAATTTAGTAAATTATACAACTAAAATTTCAACACTGCATCTATAATGCAGAAGTTTAAAAACAAGATTGAATATGCAAAATGAGAGGTGTTGCAATTCACTATCAGTTTCAATTGATCGTGTTTCATGTTATCTTGTTAAATTATATATTTTTATCATTAAATGATAACCAAATTTTTGGATTAATGTCATTACAGATAGTAAACAGGAATATTCCAACATGATCCTGAAAATTATAAATATTTTAATAATAATCAGCTAACATTTTGAAAGCCAATAAAATTGAATAATCAAATCTTGCCGTCTTTCCCCCCCACACACATACACACACTATCTTATTTAATAGTCCTTTTTTCATATTGCTGCACTATTACACACTAAGTGTTGATTTCATGGAAACATGATTTAATTAATTTCATTTTTTCATTTGAAGTCAGCAGTTACTGAAGTTATGCTTAATCATTCTCTGATTAATTTTTTTTAATTCTTAAAAATATTCATATATTACCTTTAATCATCAGCAATATAAAAAGCATACATATAAAAAATAAATAAAATTTGAGTTTTTTAGCTCTGTAATTCAAATAAAAGTAAAACTGCTTAATCAGAATACAGTCAAATACCGAAAATCTGCCGACCTGAAATCAAACTATAAACATTCAGTTTATATGTTCCAGAAACCGCAACATTGAATATGAAATATCGAAGAAAAAATACTTACCGAATAATGGCGTCATAATTACCGCTCATTATTAATCAATAATAATGAGTCATCACGAAAATACCAAATTATTGACATCATAATCTAAGTTTTTTCCCCTCTAATCTGCATCGAGGTAAAAAAGCAGATGATTCACTCAACTCTTCTTTCAAGTTCACAATTCACGTTGTATTTTCCGAGTTTTGTTATTTCACAAGATTATTTAGTGCTGCCTTTTTTTTTATCTGGATATTTTGTGGATAAATTAAGAATATTTTAAATTTCAGCCCTTTTTAATCCAATGACAGATAAGAAACGCACTCATGATTTTACTGCTTGCAACATTGAAAAACGTAAACACGTTGCATTGACGGTATCCTCGGATTATAGCAGAATCGTATGGAATTGTGACACCATTGTGTATGATATATGAAAAAATAAAGAAAAGCTGTTGAAATTTAATAGCAACAGTCATTCTAACACCGAATCCGAAACCGGAAATCTTTGCCTGAGGTGAAATTGGCAAACCTGGATGCTGTGTACATATAATACAATGAATAATATAATCAATTTATATATGTAATAATAATTTAATGCATATAATAAATTATTGCAATAATGTATATAATAATTTTATTAAATGTATCTAATACACCTTATTTATTTTGCCATCTATTAAGGGAAATCTGTAGTAGTCCTGAAATTTTGATTTAGGCTTAGTTGGTTAGCAAATGTGTCTCCATCTATGGGCAGATACTGTAGTTTGGTGAGATACGAGAATAAAATGAATAAGTCTTGAGTTATGGCATAATCTGAATAACTTCTAGCTTTCAGGAAGTTTAATTATTTTCTGAAAATTTGAACTTAGCTCCACATTCGAAATGCTAGCATCATTTTCTCTGTGGTGCTGTTGGTGTTTTTAGTTCGATGAGCGATTCCTGTTATATTCTGAATGAATTTAAAAACTTTGAGATCTCGAAGAACTTGAGGCTTTTGAAATGCTTTTAGGGATATTTTTCTGTTGAACTGCAGCGCTAAAATTTAAGTTGGATGAGCTTGACGGTTGTGAATCTGGATTATTATAAAATATTGGGAAATCTTCTGGTTTAGGTGGAGGGGGTTTACTTTCTTTTCCGGCAGTTTATTTTCAAATCTTCTTTTGTAAACTTCACATCCACGATAGGAAGATACGTGTTCTTTAGGACAAAAAATACATTTAGGCTTTTCATTTTCTTTCAATTGGCAAGTATTGCTCCTGTGATTCCCTGAACATTTGCAACAGCAAATGTTTTAAAGCAGCTTGTCTGTGACTAGCTGAACTCCTGGCAGTTAAAACACTGCACAGGACGTTTGTGTGGAGTGTACTTCTCGATTTTAATGTTGAAATCAAAAATGTTATTCAGGTGATGAATTTGTTATCCAGCTGTGTTTCTGTGTAATTATATGAAGTAGATGGGCAATAGGAATTTCTTATCTTCAACTTTTTTAGAGAATTGTGGGACTTAAATGATCAGGAAACATCTGCTGAGTAGATCTTCAAAAATTTCTGTTTCTTTGATAGTACTGGGCATATCCTTGAGAATAACTTTAATTGTAGATTCATTGTTTATTGGGAAGGTATGAATTGTGATTCTGTTCCTGTAAAGGCCTGTATTAAGTTTTGAAAATCTTCTTGTGTGGTAGTTCTTAAATATATTGCTCGGTTCTTCATTTTGGCTTCAAAGTTATTTTTGCATTTTTCGTGGCTCATTTTCTGAATGGATCGTCAGTTGGGGTTAGTTTCTGTTATTACAATATGGGAATTTTTTCCCGAAGAATTTTTTCAGTAGTGTCCATTGCTGTGCTTAGTGGGGTAAATTTATTTTCTTCTGTTATTTTAACTTTATTTGCTAGGTTAATTGTGGGTTTGCAAGTTTTTGTTGGGGTTTTCCATTCTTCGATAAGCAATTCCTTTATGTATTTGGGAGCTACTGTTTCTCTTTCCTTGTATTCGTCAAGTTCTCTTTAGAATTTCATTTTAATGTTATGGATAGCGATTAACTTCAGGACATATTTAGGATCATTTTGCAAAGTTTCGATAAGAATTTTATCCTTTCTAGTTCAGAGTGAATTACCGTCAGGAGTTTCAAATTGATTTTTTGAATTCAATTTTTTCGTAAATTTCTGAAGTTGATCTGTCAGCACTATCCTTATCTTCAGAGCAGGTGTTTTTATTTTATTCACACACACAATGAACTGGAAGTTGATCTGTCAGCACTATGCTTATCTTCAGGGCAGATGTTTTTATTTTATTTGGCTTATAATTCCTTACTAAATGTAGTACTTCATCTCGATGTACTCCGTCATTGATATGATTTAAATCAAATTCCTCGTCATTATAAATATCACAATTACACATCAAATAGTTTTTTGGTTGCAGTTTTCTAATTTCGACTATGCGTAATGTATGCTTTACGCATGCGCGCGTTGAAAGAAATGTTTAATAAAGTAAACAAATTAATATAAAGCTTTTTTTTTTTTTTTTTTTTTTGATACCCTTTAGATCATAATTGCTCTTTATTTCATAAATTACGGTTTCATATTTTTAGTTTTATAATTTCTGCATGCCATCTTACCAGATTTAAATTGATGATCTATAATCCGGAAAAACCGATAATACGGAATCGCCGAAGTCCCAACAAGTCTGGGTTAAAGACTTTTGACTGTACATATCTGTAGACTCATTGATTGTCAAAAAAATGGTTACTTGGTAATTCCAGTTACTTGTTCTTTAAGCAGTCCAAGTGAAATTATTTTCCTTTTAAATCTTGTACATGGTCAGTGAAATGTATGGATGCATGATGGGCAACAAATAGAAAGTTTCAATTAAAATTGATTTGTGCTTCCACTTTTCAAATGCACATTTTATGCTTTTTTGAGGAGAGATTGAGAATTTTGCCTATGCTGTAAAGGAAATTTTTGAAGATCTACTCAGCAGAGGTTTCCTGATCATTTAAGTCCCACAATTCTCTAAAAAAGTTGAAGATAAGAAATTCCTATTATTATACTTACAGCTATATTATATTTACAGCTATATTCTGACTTAAGTTTTGCAAGCCTACCCACAAATCACCAAAATACTAAACAAAGCAATCAATCAAACACTAAAAATAGCAGCAACTAATACTGAAAACTGAGTACAAATATAATCATGCTCAATATTTGCAAGTTGTCAGTTTTTATTTAAGCCTAAATAAATTATTACTTTTTATTATAAATAAATTTTCATAGATATGTTGTTTTAATATGTATGCATTTTGTGACATAATAAAAAATTTTAAAGTAGCACAAGGAAATGATGGAGTGGCTGAAATTTCTCAAAATCGCATAGACATTAAATTTAGTAGCAAAGTTTGTCAAAAGTAGGAAATTTTGAAAAATTTCTCAATTTGGCAACACTGCATACTTGTACTGTTTCTTTTGAAATTGATTTCAAATAATCAAAGGTATTTGTTTTGAGACCGCTGGTTAGACTGTAGACTAACGACAACTTTACAACAACAACAACAAACAATTTTATTTTGTGGACTGTAACATAACTAAAAATCTAAATCGAAAATGATAAATTCCCGACCATACAGGATCAAAACATGTATGCTACGCTAGGAGTTCGAATCTTAACTAACAAATTGCGCAGAAACAATGTGCTGTACATAACTTTGAAGTTGCACAGAAAAGATAACTTTTATTGCCATGTAGGAGGCAACATACCGCCCCACATGGCAATATCTATGATATGCAAACTAAATCTAAGCATACAATTCAATATCAAATGCTAACAATTCAGCTATTCATTTTTTAAGCAATAATAAAGTCTTAAAGTTAGTAAATCATTTACAGAATGAAATAAACAATTCAGAAAATTCCATAAAGTTTGAACGTTTGCAAATTTTTTCAATAATTATATATATCAACATTTCAAACAGTAAAAACATTCACAGTTTTTCATTAAAATTACCAAAATATAATAAAGAAAAATGTATTTTATTAACAATGAAACTTAATCCTTGAAGTTATCCTCAATAGGCAATAAACAAATTTTTGATATTGG